TAAATAAATAGAATGAGGCTTTTGAGAAACCCTTGTATCATTTACAAATCTTTATTAATATTCTGTAAATTTATTTCATTTTTGTGCAAGATTAGTGGGAATTTATCACTTCTATATTAAATTTATAAAAAGGATAAATAATGGGAAAAATGTGTATAATTTTGAAGGATGAAAGTTGTGTCATTTTAAGAGAGAGAAAGAGATAGATAAAGGAGGAGAGAGAGTTGACAAAAAAAAATAAAGTTGTGGGTCTCTTCTCTTTGTGAGAGTGAAAAGATGTAAGTTGTGTAATTTAAAAGTATAGATACTTTTCCCATAAATAATACATAAATTTCAATTACCAGCTTGAGCTTTTATATACTTATTAGATGTGACAAAATGAGTTCGATTGGCGGGCATAGTTTTTGAATTGGCCAACCCCTCAACCTTTTCTTTTTCCCACTTTTCTTTTTCACCTAACCTAACCCAATTTGTTATTTAGTTATAAAAAATTGTAAAAAGTTTACTGCATTTTCAACTGTTTCTGAATTCTTGTTCACAATAAAATAAAATTGTTATAAAAATTTACTTACTACTTAATCAAACTAAAAAAGAAATTTCTCTAACTTTTAGAAAGCTAAAATATTATTGTCACTGCAATTAATTTTAATTATTTTTTATTGAAGCTTAGCTATGAATAAAATGTAAGTTAAAAATAAAGAAAAATTCACACCGAAAAAAAAAACATAGTAAAGTGAAAAGTTATTATTTTAATTGTTATGGACCCATAGGGCCCATTAAGTGATATGCGTAATTCAAGATCTGAATCGGTAATAATCATGGATAGATATCCATCAAGGATATTAATCCTAATACGACAGCATAGCAAGCAGGTCTGGGCCCTTATCAGAGGCATCAAAGGCCCATCCATACTACCCACAGGTAACTTCTATAAATACAAGGTAAACCCTAAAAGTACGTTACGCTCTCTCTTTTACTGTTATGCTGTTACTGTGCGCGCGCACACACCCCATTGGCTAACGTCGTTATAATATTCTGTACATAGTGATCTGCTTGACTCAAGGGTATCTCCTCCATAGATACCTTAGAGAGGGCACCAGATCCAAAAGCAACATACCAGCCTACTGAGCTGGACATCTTTGTCCCAAGGACAGAACACTAATAATTTCTTATTGATAAAAAATTGACCACTGTTATCAAAAAAAAAAAAAAAAAATTGACCATTAATGTTAAGAAATGACGGTGACACAATATCAAATTAAAAGTAAATGGGAAAGTGCAGTGCAATAAAATTAAAAAATATATATATGAAAGAAAGTGCAGGTGCAGCAGCATCACAAACTGAAAAAAAAAATTAAAATTATAATTAAATAATAGAAAATAGAAGAAGAAAAAAAATAGAAAACTTTAAAAAAATAAAATAAAATAGCCAGACTTGCTCGTTTATAGGTGGGTTAATAGTGGGGCGGAGGACCAACTTTATCACCTCTAAATTACTTATAGGAGCATTCTTTGTGTTTACAAGATTAATATATCTTTGGTCATGTATTATTTACATGTGGAAATAGTATAAATTTCATAAATTAAAAAAAATGTTAGTATATGTAATTTCTCAAATGGTGAAAGTATTTAAGAGTAATAACAGTAGTGCACAGACTAAGAGAAGTTATTACACTTTTTTATATATATATATATATATATATATATATATATATATATATATATATTAAATTAGAATATATATTTCTCTCCAATACTTTCTTTGTGAGAAGTTTAAAGCCTTAATCTAATTTCTTTAAAATATCTTTAAAAAAATTAGAATATATTGTCTTAAAAGTAATCTAATTTCTTAGTTTATTTCCTCTTAAAAAATAATACATGCCATTTTAATTTTTCAAATTTTAAATATTGAATTCTAATTCTTTTAAATTTTTTTGATACAGACTTTTTTAAAATTAATTATGCATATCATGTTTACAATTTTAAAAGTATTTTCTTAAATCTCTACTTTTAAAATGCTATTAAAATTAATTATACACATCTCTTTTATAAATTCAAACATTTTTCTCTTGAATAATTTTTTTGACTTATTTGTTTAAATTTTACATAAATATGAAAATACTTGTTTAGAGTGTAGGAAAGGACAAGATATACTTACCACCACAAAAGTTTATCACATTTACAACCAACCTAATCATACTTGATTTTTATTAATATGACAATTATAATTTATTGGGAATTAATAATTAATTCATAAGATTGATCCAATAATTCTCAATAAATTACAAGCATTAGACTAACAAAAAATAACGATGATTAGGTTGGTTGTAAGGGTGATAAATTTTTATAATGATAAATATATCATTTCCGGTGTAGGAATATGATTTATTTCTCTTAATTTATTTTTTCAAAGGAAAAATTAACAAATTTACATACATAATTTATTTGAAAAACATTTTATCATGTTATGACCTTTTGATACTCATATGACATGAAAAAATCAAAGCCATAATTTATTAACATACACATATCTGAGAGATTCTCAACAAAGTAAAAGCATTAATGCCCATCACAACAGACAACAGCGAATCTACAAATCTTTGAATAATGACATGAAATCTTCGAGAGGAATTTTTTTTAATGAAACTCACTCGTATGTATTTATATGAATGTGGTATAAGAAAAATTCCCTAAATATATTATTTAATTACAATTTTTTTTCATTCAGTTACTAATTTTACCTATATTTAACAACCATTAAGACATGAATATATTTATATTTTAGAATATTTCAAAAAAAATTACATTAATTACTTTTTTTTTTTGAAAATCAAGGAATTAAAAGAAAAACTACACGCCTCTAACTAGGCCAAGCACTACCTATGTAATCACCTATGATGCACGGACACGGAGACGGGACACGACACGACACGACACGCCAACACGTTACTTCTAAAAATGTCATATTTTGACACATTGGGACACATTTTGATATTAAATAAATTTTTTAATACATATAATATAAGGGTTTGATGTTTATCATTTTAAATGAGATAAGTTATGTCATTTTAGGAGAGAGATAGACACAGAAAAACAGAAATCATGGGAGAGAGAAAGTGTGTGGTTTTTTTTAATTTAAAATTCAAATTTTCTGTGTCTGTATCTTTCTTAAAATGACATAACTTTCTGTCATTTAAAATGACAAACACTTTTTTTATAATATAATTTATATTTAATACATATAAGAGTGCATAATAAGTCATATAACCAATCAAATATTTAAATTTCATAACATAAATATAAATATTAGTAATTTTTCGTATTTTGTTAATTTTTAATATCAAATTTCATAACAGAAAAAAATTAATTTATAAATTATTTCTTTTATATTTAGTTAACAAAATAAAATTAAGATTTAAAAAAAAAACGTGTCCGAACATGTCCCTAAATATTGACTGCGTGTCGGAGAGTTGACCGCGTGTCCCCAAATATTGATCACATATCAGACGTGTGTCCGTGTCGAACACGTGATCACTATACATTAAGCTAAAACATTCCTCATAGAACTTATCCAATAAAACCGTTCCCCAGTCACGATTCAAAGTTATATTAGCTAACCAGTGCGCTACCGTATTTCCCTTCCTAAAGACATGGGATACTTCCACCTGCCAATCCTGGGTCATCAGATTAGTTATCTTGTTAATCAGTCCTCTCAATGAATAATTTTTAGCAATTCCATCTCTTATCATCTAAATCATTACCTGAGAGTCTCCCTCCAAAACTATTTTCCAGTAATCCTATTGCTGTGAAATTCCTGTAATCACTATACAGCAATTCCATCAGATTACATTAATTACTAAATGGCAAAATATTGCTGTGAAATCAGAAGGATAAAAGAGTTAGCTAACCAAATAATGGGAGTTAGGTAATTGAGTTAGTGAAAAGAAAATGGTCTAATTCGATTCTCATATTATTTTTTTAAAAAAATTTAAATATTGTTATTATTAACGCACTTCGTATTTTAAATAAATTTCATAATCAATTTAAAAAATTAAAATTTGTGCTAAAATCAGATAAAACCAATTCGCCTAGAAAAAATAATTAAAATTAGATTATCTAAAAAAAGATTAGCTGTATATGGCAGAGGGAAGAGAATGTTGGGTACACCTGTCTGAGCACAGCATAGGAACCAAAGGGTTAAAGGTGCGAGGACACCTGTGGGACTAAAGGCTGCCCTTAAGTATAAGGGTAAGTGTGTGACTATCTCTCTATTATTCGGAACAATGATTAAAGTGATTTTTTTTTGACAAAATTTTTATTCAAATATAGAGTATTTTTTATCAAACTGTTGTATGTTATAGTACGCTATTATTTATACCAAATTTTGTAATTAATAATTTTATGACAGGTGGTTATATTACAGACCAAATTCGTTATCACTAGTAACAAATTATGATATGTCAGCTTTTTCCTGTAAAAGTGTGCTACGTGTCATAAAATCTTTGACGAACGTAGTTGCTATTAGTCGTAGCAAATTACACGCACGTAGAGCCGGCAAAACGGGTTCGGCTCGGCGGGCCAACCCGTCAAACGAGGCGAGACGGACTGAGTTTTTCAACCCACCTCAAAAGCGGGGCGGACTCATTTTTTGGCGGGTTGATGGCGGGCATAGGCGGTCGAGGCGAGTCAATGTAAAATAGGCTCGGGCTGGCGGGCCAACCCGCCTAACCCGCCAAACGGGGCGGGACGAGGCAGGCTGAGTTTTTCAACCCATTTTTAAAAGTGAGGCGGGACGAGCTGACTCATTTTTTAGCGGGTTGATGGTGGAGTGAGGCGGGACGGGGCGGGCTGTCCATTTTGCCACCTCTACTCGCACGTGACATTTGATAAAAAAACATTGTTCACGTGATATTTAAATATATATATATATATATATTTTTTTTTGGTTAAAAAATGACATTTTGTTGAATGTTCCCTATTATTCACTACAGCTTGTCTCTCTCTCTCTCTCTCTTATATGCTGGTGTTTTTATAGGTCGGGGTAGGCATGTACCCTAAGAGGCTCACCCTACGGCATAAGAAAGAAGCAAAATTTGTCTTGAAGAATTAATCTTTTTCTGCACTGCTTTGGGCAAAACGCTCAATCCAGTGATGGGAGATGGTTGTGTGGTTCAGGGAATGAGCAATTCCAATAAGGGTAAGGACAAGAAAAAGAATAAGAAGAAGAACAAGGGTGGCAGCAAGAAGAAGATGACCCACGAGCAGGTTATGGCCTTCAAATTTGTGAGTGAATGGGTTTTCTTGGATCAGCCTTCTTCTGCTTCTTCTTCTTGTGTTGTGGATGATTTTGGGGTGCAGAAAACTGTTGGGAGAGGAGGGGAGAAGCTACTCTTTGAATTGCATTCTCACTCCAAATTCAGTGATGGCTTCTTGTCCCCTTCCAAGGTTGTTGAGAAAGCTCACATGAACGGCGTAAGTTTCAATGTTCCTTTGCTTTTTGATTATAACATGAATGCTTAGATTGTTTTTTTTTTTTTCCTTCCTTTTTTAATCATTTAAAGTTGTTCTTTGATATCTGCCTAAAAAAAAAAGTTGTGTTTTGATGCCTAAGTCAGATTGTAAAGTTTCTTTTTTTTATCATATGTACAAAACCTCAAAAGGAGTTAGTTACCTTTCTATTGGATATTTTTCATGACTTATTTTCATAGCCAGAAACAGAAAACAAAGCAACAAAAAATAAATAAAATAAAACTCAGATGAAAGTGGCATGGATTTGGATACCACTAGGTGAGTGAGACTGTTTATTCCCTAAGAGATGAGTATTAGGTTGTGCCAGTCTCTCATTGTCCTTTGCATTAACTTTTCATTTGGGAAATATCCGAAAATCAAAAGATCATAACATGGATCAATATTTATATATTATTTGAGGTTTCCTTGATTTAAAAAAATCAGCAGGTGAATGTGTACTTATTTTACACTGTAAGATGTTGTCTAATATCCCATGGTTATTTTATGAGGATAGTGAAGGAGGCTACTTGAGAGATGTTATGGCTGATAGAAAGTTAACTACATTGGAGAGGTTTCTAAAATAAATGAAGATGAAATATGAGGTCCATTTCAGTATGTTTATGGGTTGCATTTTCCAATCAACTCAATATCACTTTTACCCATGATATTAAAAGATGATTGCCTAAGGCATCAGCTTTCTTTTAGTATTAGGCTCATTTTTAATTAATACTATGTACTCATAACAGGTGAAAGTTCTTGCTCTGACAGATCATGACACTATGTCTGGCATCCCTGAGGCTGTAGAATCAGCTCGTAAATATGGCATCAAGATAATCCCAGGTGTAGAAATTAGTGCAATATTTTCTCCAAGGTAATTTTCAAATATTACAGATTCTAGATGCTTATTTATAGAGTTGGCACTGATCTTTAAGTTACTTGTGTTGCTTCTCCCTACAGGGAGGGAAAACAGGAAAATTATAAGATATATCAACTATGTTTAGTATCATTTTTGTTCAATGCTTCTAATGTATGCTAATACACTGGCAGTGGAGACTCTGAAGCAGAGGAACCAGTTCACATTTTAGCATATTATAGCAGTATTGGACCATCAAGGTTTGAGGAGCTGGACAAGTTTTTATCAAATATAAGGGATGGACGTTTTCTTCGTGCAAAGAACATTGTCTTGAAACTAAACAAGCTCAAATTGCCACTTAAGTGGGAGCATGTTTGCAGGATTGCAGGAAAGGGGGTTGCCCCCGGGCGGCTTCACGTCGCCCGAGCTATGGTTGAGGCAGGTTATGTAGAAAATCTAAGACAAGCCTTTGCCCGATATCTTTTTGATGGTGGACCTGCTTACTCTACGTAATATTATTGCGTTGCTTGCTCTTGTTGGTTGTAACTATTTGTGTAATTAAGGAAAATGGTTAAGGATATGGTAATTGTGTTTCAGGGGAAGTGAGCCTCTGGCAGAGGAAGCAATAAAAATGATTTGTCATACTGGGGGTGTTGCTGTTCTGGCTCATCCATGGGCATTAAAAAATCCTGTTCCCATTGTCAGAAGGTTAAAAGAAGCTGGCCTTCATGGGATGGAGGTCTACAAAAGTGATGGAAGGCTTGCAGGTAGATGCTCATTTGTTTAATCACTAAAATGATGTTATTACATAGTTTAGGATTATCATTCCTCCTTGTTAAACCAAAACTAGTGTGGATGTACTTTGTCAATTGTCATAGGAAGTTGATTCATAATTTTTTCAGATTTATTCAAAAACAGAAACCATAAATTGTTCAGATTGCACTGCATGCCTTTTCTCTCCTCCTTCTACCTGCCCTATCTTAATGTTTCATATTACCTATTAAAATTCTGAGTTCACTTTGAGAGGAAAAACTCATCAATACTGTTAACTTGGTTATCAAAACATTAAATTGTTTCTGTCAGTAGGCTAACTGATAAACTGAAGACTATCCATGTAAAAAGGCAAACCCCGGTACACAAAGGCTCGGACTTGCTAGAGTAGGGATGAGGGTCGGTTATAGGCATCCTTACCTTTACATTTTGAAGACTATCCATATCTAGTCATAAAATTAACAATATGCACAATGAAAGCATTTTTTTTTTTTTTTTTTGGGTAAACAAAGCATGCATTTACTGTTGAATCATACCAACTGCATCTCAGGAGGTCACAATTGTGCTGGGAAATTATTTCATTGTTATTAAATTTGTTCTTGCATGTTAATTTTTGGTGTGCAGTATATAGTGACCTGGCGGATGCATATGGGCTTTTGAAGATTGGAGGATCAGACTATCATGGTAGAGGAGGGCACAATGAATCTGATCTGGGAAGTGTGAATCTTCCAGTACTAGTGTTGCATGAGTTCCTTAAGGTAGCTAGGCCTATATGGTGTGATGCCATCAGGGAAATATTAGTGTGTTATGCTGAGGAGCCTTCTGATTCTAACTTAGCAGGAATTACAAGGTTTGGGAGAACCCGGGTTTTTAAGGGAGGTTCACCCTTGAGTTGTGGACAGGACTTGATTGATCACTGTTTACCTCTCTGGTTGACTAGCCAGGAGATGGAAAATCCAGAGTTTGAAAATATCAAGTTGAAACTTTCTAATGCTTCCATTAGTCAGGGAGGAATTCAGGTTCTCATTGAGACTAAATAGTTGTTGTGTATGCTAGCAAGCAGATATTTTAATCATTTCCAGTATTCTTGTCAGCCAATCTTAATATTAAATTTTGATTGTCAAGTTCAATTGTCTATTGATTGTTTGATATTTTTCTATGATCATTGAGCAAACATTTCTCGTTTTATTGTTTAATCTTCAATGAATGAGTTTTTTCTATCTGTTTTCTTAATGCAAATATTCCAGAAAAAGACTGTATTTTTAACAGTGTTCCTTTTTCTATGATTGACCCGTTTTAAAAGGAGAATGTTACCAATACATTTTTTTCAAGTGTATCGAATTAAATTTATGCTTGTTTAATAATTAAAAAAAAAGGTTTGATGTTTGTCATTTTAAAGGACATAAGTTATGTCATTTTAATAGAGAGATAGACATAACTTATGGAGGGGGCTGAACCTTTAGCCATCACTGCTTCCCTGCACTCCGGATTAGTCCCATAGCCGGCTCAAAGAGTCGAAGCTCGTGGGGATATCAGAGGGAGCCAACTCGCCTCAAAGAGGTAATTAGGGTTGGGTAACTCCAAAAAAGGACATAAGTTATGTCATTTTAATAGAGAGATAGACACAATGAATGAAAATCATAGAGACGAAAGTGAGTGATTTTTTTTTTAATTTAAATTTTAAATAAAAAATATTATTTTGCATCTATTTTTTTTTTTTAAAATAACATAATTTTATATCATTTAAAATGATAAGTATTTTTCTCTTAAAAAAAAAAACATAGATTCAATTTTAAAATGAAAAGTATATTCAGGAAAATATGTTGATGTCAGTCCTATAAACTTTTTCTGCGTAGCTTATGCCTTTCCATTCAACGCTATAATATGGAACCTGCAGGTGTTCCTATACTCCATAGACTCTAGTCAGTAGTTTCCAAAAGATTAGTAAGTTAACAGTACTTTTTTTTTTTTTTTTTTTCTTTCTGATGGGTGTGAAGCACACCGGCATGTGGCTAAGTAGAAGCTAGCTTCTTGGATTATGTTTCTTATTTTTGGGGCAATGTTAGTAAAGATTAGGGGTGTGCAAAAAAAAATTAGTTCACTTGTCCTGTTCTTGATCCGAGCTTGACTCGACCCATAAATACTCATATTTTTTGAACTGGTTTAAATACTGACCCACTTTTATTTGGGTCAGTTTTAGACCTGACTCGTTTTAATATTGACCCACTGACCCAAAACTTGACTCATACCCATTATGTGAAAAAAAAATCACAATTACATTGAAAGAAAAGTTTTAACGTAAAACAATTACGTCAAAATTTGTTATGGAAAATATTTTCATAAAAATTTTCGCAAAAATTTTTGACGAAAAATATTTTCCTCATAATTTGTGACTAAAAACATATCGGTAAAAAAATTTGACGGAATATTTTTTTGTCAAATTTTTTTACGGAATCTAAATTTCGTCAAAATATTTCACAAAAAAATATATTCATAAAAACTTTTGACGAAACACATTTTCATTGAAATTCTTTTACGGAAAAAATTTTCATCAAAATTCTTTACAGATTTCAAATTTTGGCGAAAGTTTTCGACGGAAATATTTTCGATAAACTTTTTGACAAAAAAAAATTTCGTTAAAATTTTTAGCGAAACACATTTCTATCAAAAATTTTCGACTAAATATTTTCGTCAAGTTTATATCCATCAAAATTTTCAACGGAACACATTTCTGTAAAAAAAATTCGTAAAATTTTTTGACACAAATATTTCGATAAGAAATTTTGATAGAAAAAATATTTTGTCTAAATTCTTTAGAGAAAGTTTCGTCGAAAGTTTCAAATGAAACAATTTCCATTGAAAATTTTGACGAAACACATTTCCATCAAAAAAATTCGACGGCAAAAAATTTCATTAAAATTCTTTACAGATTTCTAATTTCGGCGAAAGTTTTCGACGGAAATATTTTCGTCATCAAAAAATTTTGACGGCAAAATATTTCGATAGCAAAAAATTTTGGCGAAAGTTTTCAACGGAAACATTTTCGTCCTCAGAAAATTTTGACGGCAAAAAAATTCATCAAATTTCTTTACAGATTTCAAATTTGGGCGAATGTTTTCGACGAAAAAATTTTCGTTAAATTTTTTGACAAAAAAAATTTCCGTCGAAATTTTTAGCGAAACACATTTTCATCGAAAATTTTCAACTAAATATTTTCGTCAATTTTTTGATAAAAAATTTCCATCAAAATTTTCAACGAAACACATTTCTATAAAAAAATTCCGTAAATTTTTTTGGCAAAAAAAATATTCTGTCAAAATTCTTTAGAGAATGTAAATTTAGTCGAAAGTTTCAAATGAAACATTTCCCTCGAAATAATTTCCGTCAAAATTTTCATCAGAACACATTCTCATCGAAAGTTTGAACGAAAAACATTCCGTCACATTTTTTTGACAAAATTCTTTTTTCGTTTAAAACATTTGATGGAAGAAATCATTTTCGTCAAAACTGTTGACGAAAAGTAAATTTCAATAGAAATTTTTTTTTTTGTAAAAATTTCGACGAAAAAATAATTTTGTGATGAAATTTTCGTCTTTTACAACGTAAAAATTTCGACAAAATTTTGTGAGAAAACCAAGTCAAAAACGGGTCAGGTCAGATTTGACCCAGTTCAGAAACCAAGTCAGACCTACTTTAGAAACCAAGTCAGGTCAGATCCAAACTGGTTCTGAACTAGTTCAACAAAATCCAATCCAAGTCAGACCTGATTTGGATCAAATTAAAGCGGGTCGGGTCAAAATACCTGACCTATAAAAACCAAGTTGGATCGAGTCGGACAAAAACCTGACCCGACCTAACCCAAGCACAGCCCTAGTGAAGACAATAAAATATATGATTTCAGGTTTGGAATCATTTTGACACACTTGTCTTTTATTTAGTGATCTATAAGAAGAAAAGGAATAGATACTCCAAAGAAAAAAAAAATTCATACCCGAATAAGCAAAAATGTGAATAACTGTAGAATGAGGCGGCAACTAATTTGGAGAATAAGGATAATCTAGTTTGTAGAGCACGTCAGAAGCTTCAATTTAATTACATTAACAACTTAAAAATATAAATAATATACAATTATAATTTGTGCTTAGTGAAAATAGGCTTTTATCATTGTTGTTAGGATCTGGATCTTCTAATGTAAAAATTCACATGATCATGTCATATGGGAAATCATAACCATACAAAGGTAGATTAATAGTAAAAAAGAAGAAGAGAAAAAAAATGATAAAATAGATAGTTATGAAATCATAACCGTTGATTTACTTTTGTATGGTTGTGATCTTCTCACATGACCATATCATATTTTTTTGGCACATGAGAGGATACATTTCCTTCTTGTTATAGTATAGGTAGTGATCAATTAAAACTTGAAAGATAATTACTGGGTTATATTAAAAGAAAGTATATTGAAATCTAGTGGGTGGTACATCCCAAAAACATTGAACACGGAGCTAAACATAAGATCACGTTGTGAGTCCCTCGTGAAGTAACGTCAAGGAATATTAATGCAACACTTATTTTTGCATTGGGAGTAATGCTATTTTTAATACAGAGTTTCTCTCTCTTTCTTCAAGTACTCGTTTGTAAATCAGGCAATTCAACTATTATAAAACCAATCAAGGGTATTGATTCAAGCGTCACATGTTTGATTTCGCTTAAATAAAATTATGTGATTGTAAAAAAATTTCTTTGAAAAAGCTAATCATACCATAACATGGATATTTCCTGCTCAAATATGATTCTGTGAATGATACCTGTGATTTATTAAAAAAAAAAAAAAATTATAACATCAACCTTTAAAAAAGCTTTTCCAAAAATGATCAAGGCATTAACGCCTCATCAGGAACTCAGAAAGATTGTGTTTCCTCTGATACCTGTGGTCTCTTAATTACATTAGACATTAGATAATGCTAGAAAAAGAAAACTTACTGAGACAAATAAATATTGATATTACTGATACAAAGGATTGCAGGTGGTGAAAATGATGTGAAATTAAGATGTGGTATATGTTATTTTGTTTATACAATTTTACACGCGTAGTTTTTTTTTTTTAATATTCCAACCAGTTCATCATTTCGCGATTTCTTCGATTTGGGACGAAACATGGGATTAAAGTTTTACTTCTCTTCCAAAAATAGTATTAGAAAAGATCAAACTTATATTCTCATCCCATCTACTTGGTTATCTAATGCTAACTAAACTACAATCATTTAATTAAACACAAGCAATATTTGACACCCAATAATTTTGTTATGCTTAGTGCAAATGCCAATGTCGGTAAAAACGATGAAACAAGGGTCAGGATCATTTTACACCAGTATAAGTTACACTCTCAATCTTGTCTGTTGATTCCATTTATATCTAACGGCTCAAATTTTTTACTAATGTTAACCATTGAATACAAGTGGATCAATAGTCAAGATTGAGTGTAAGACTTCTAACTCTTACACCAGTGTAAGAAAATATATATATATATATATATATATATATATATATATATATATGGGTCAGGATCATTTTACACCAGTGTAAGTTACACTCTCAATCTTATCCGTTGATTCCATTTATATCTAACGGCTAAATTTTTTTAGTAATGTGAGCCATTGGATACAAGTGGATCAATGGTCAAGATTGAGTGTAAGACTTCTAACTCTTACACCGGTGTAAGAATATCCTGCCCCTATATATATAGGGGAAGGAAATCATTTTGCCAATAAATGATAATCGTTGATTGGCGAAAATCAACGATTAGAATTTGGTGTCAAATTTCAAAATTTGACACCGGTGTCAAAAGATCCTATCTTTTATATATATATATATATATATATATATATATATATATATATATATATATATATATATCTTAGTAAAATAGCACCCTTAGATTTGTCGAGTTTTTTGTTTTACCATTACAACCAGTATGACACCGAATGTCATAAGAGTCCGGGTGTTCGAGCAATGTCATAGCATTAACTTAACGTTATCACATTTTCTAAATTAAACGCAGATAAGGCAAAAAATAATAATAATAAAAAAATTTTTTTTGATATTTCTATAAACTGTCAATAACTTCTCTCACTTTTTTTTTTTTTTTAAATCAGAAACATATTATTAAGGAGATAGGAAATGAGACAGGTAACGAGGCAAAATATTTGAATCCTAATTTAACAGCTTCAAGTTCCATGAAAATCTTGGCTAGATCCAGCATAGATAGGTGACAGCAATCCAATAAACAGATAAGATATATGTTATGCATAATCAAGTCATGTATAATGCACAGCAAAAACATCAAAAAGTTCCAACCCTTTGCATTCCTCATCTTTATCCGTACATAAAAAGCCACCAAAGTAGCAACTGAGTTTAAATTGCTACGTATCAAAGGAGAAATATGGATCATCCAAAAAATACACCTCATTCATCAACTGGATCTACAGCTATGCTTAATCTTGGCCGTTATGTGCTATATAATGCAATCACATTATGAACAACACTCAATGCACCAACCAACCAAGTATGTCATCATAAGGATACTCAATTAGGACATTAAAGCACCCCCCATGTAGGATAATGACCACATTATCCATATTTGCCAATCTCCATCTTCTTCTTGATTGTTCTCTGACCATAATATATTGATGAATCAACTATTCCAGCAACAGTGAATATACCTATGTAGAAAGGTAGAAGCAACTGGTGAAGCAATCGGTTTTGCAAACGTTAACATGTAACCAACCAACTAGTTCATACCAAAATTCTTTACTATTTTCATTTAACACTACTTAGAACTAACCATGTCATAAAGATTTGACAAGGTTTTATGTTGGTTGTCAACTGCTTAACACAACCCAACCCTACCCATGTAAAATTTGCAAGAAAGCGCGACATAGATGGAATTTACTCAGAACTATATCAATGTAATTGTCTGATAAGAAATTAATTTATTACCCTTATTTTGTTGATTTTCCAGGCAGGAGTGGATAGAAAGAACAAGAAATTACCTCCAATAATTGCACAAATATTGGTCAAGAAATGTAAAAATGGAATGTGTTCCTCTTTAAAGGTGACCTGCAACATAAAACATATCAAATTTACCAGGGGATCAAATAACAAAGCCCACTTTTCTACAGATGGTAGAGCAACACGCAAAAATACTATTTCTACTTTAGTTCTATTTTGTGCTTAGCAGCAGCCTCAATAACATGATTGAGATCCTTGGCATAAAAATAGTATAGTCACTTGGCACTCAACCCCAATTCCCCAAATGTGCCTCAATCACTATGAGGAATCATTCAGAAGGTAATATCTTATTGGAAAGACTAAGACTATTATATGTCATGCCTGGCTGTATCAAACTAAAGTGGTAAAACACAAAGGTCAAGTGCTGTCAGTAGAAAAAGAAAAACATTTCAAGATTTTATTCAATTTGCTTGTAAAATTAAGCAGTCTTACCTTGATTGGAGATATGTCATAAAAAAAGAAAATTCCGGGAACTGCAACACCCAGCTCTGAACTCTTGAAATGCTCAGTCACAGAATACTGTGCAACAACATTTATGAAGCTACTTAGGCATTATCCAATGTAAAACATGAAATGACAGTATTTTTATGATATTTAACAATACCTGATTTGAATGGATAACATGACCTCTAATGTCTGTGTATATTGTAGGGACAACCTGCAACGAGTACACGAAATGTCCAAACAATCGTCAACCCAGTGCATAAGTGCATACACAGAAATCGTTCAAACAGTTAGAAGAAAGCATAAAAGCAACAATGCATGCAATATTTCGAAGCAAATACTCAAAAAAAAATTACTGGTTCTCTTATACTGTTGTTGTATACAAGACAAATACTGTAACAGAGTTTGCTAGAAATGAATGCAGTATATTCAACAAAACAGAGAGAGAAGAAAAGAAAAGAAAGCAATATCATGGTTTCAGAAATGCACCTCCCAGTGGGAAAAGGGTAATAACATGACAGAAAATTATAATAGCATTAATATATTGCAAGTATCATGTAAAAACCAATATTTGTCAATAGTTTATATTTTAGTGAATAGTTAACTATCTGAATCATCAAGTACATATTTCATAAAAACAAATAAAGATTAATAACCAAATATATTAGTTCAATTTAACATCATTACCCAAGCAATTAGTTATAAACTAAAACATGCAAACAAAAACTTTGATGAGGAAAATATTTCCAACTAGTACCAACCTTTATGAAATACTGGTACGTGCCATGAGATGTTCCTTGCACCCATTTTACCCTGCAAAGGATTGGAAGAAGAGAAAAAAAGAGTTTAAATGGTTGGTGGAAGAAAAATTTTAGTCAGAGCATTTTCTTTTATAAAGGCTATCATTCGAAGTATAATACATGATAAGATAACTTTGCACTCGTGGTCAAATCACAACTCGGGGAGGAGAGTAAAGGAAAAAGAGGAAAATTTATTAACAATTTGCTGCTTCTGCAAAAACTGTATTGCAAAACTTCACCGCAAAACTACATGTACTGTTAGAGAAATAAAACCAAATTTATGCCTTTACCAGCTAAGCTTTTAGGATAAATGGTCCTTAATATTGGTATCAAAACATCTCTAACCAAGTGGTCAAAAGTTTGATCCTTGCAACTCCATTCTTATACTAAAAAGTTGCATTCAATACAAGGTTAAGTGGACCTCTGCATTCATCCACATTTCAAGTACTCTTGCATGAGGGGATAGGTTAAAGATGTGTAGAGTTGGCCTTGGAAATGTATTATGAAAACAATATATATAAAATCTCCGTTACTTCAGTTTTTAGGTACATTATAATTACAAGTTACTCTCCCCTCCACTGTATTTTGCATTTACTACTTGAATGTCATTTGATCACACAATACTCATGAAGTAACGGCTTAGTTATCAAATCTCTTATTTAGTTGTAGTGTTTTGGTTTTTTAAAAAAAAAAAAAAATAGAAGGGAATTTTGATAAAGTTTTAATGAAAGAGGAGTAAGTAATATAAATATACTTAGAATTACATTTTATGGCATTAGATCAACATTTAAGAATCTGTCTGAAAGCTTATGCCATATGCCATCCTAGTCACCAGAAAATAAAGGCTTCTACTGGAGAAGAAAGAAAATTACCCATCAAGAGGATTTACCAATCCAGGGTAATGGGCACCAAAACTTAATTTGTTGATCTGATGGCTAATCTGCATCATACACAATAATTTGAAAATCAATCATGAGATTACAAGCAAGGGGAGAACATTTGAAATTTATCAAAGGTTTCACAATATAATACATAATTCAGACAAGCGATATTAGACATCCAGTTCAGTCTCTTACATTATAATGATTATCCTGTAAAGCAAGCAGATCAGTCAAAAAGATAGCCGACTGAAGAATGCTTTTCCCAGTTGCAAAATGAAAGCTTCCAGCCACTTTATTAACTTCAAGAGATCCATGAATATTGCATCCTTCACCTTCTTCATCCTTTACCTGCTGTACATAACCCTCTCTTTGACACTAAAAGCAAAACCAAATTGTCAGAATGCTATAGTTTAGGTGCCAAATGCTCTAAAACTGGATATGATTACCGCAGCTTGGAAATTACAGACATACAAATAAACAAAGAAAAAAATTTGTGTCATGTGCACTGTTAATAATTTTTTATTTTTGGAAAAAAGAATAAATTCATTAGGACAACGAGAAAAGAGAATGGACGATTAGGAATCCTCCTTAACAAAAGAACAAAATAGAAAACAACAAAGAAAAAAGAGAACATAAATAGAGCAAAGCTTCCCAATCGCTCAACATATTGATTTGGGAAACCCCGTCAAAAAGGCCATGTGCTTTACTCCAAATAGAAACCAAAAAATAAATTTTATTCCAAATCAGGTGTACATGCCATCAAGCCGTCAGTTTTTCTATTGATTCCATCATCTTCCTTTTTAATGGAAATTGTGTGTTAGACTACGACTGCTAATTATTCATTATGAACAACCCTTTAATTTTCGGTAATTTTTATTTTTAAGCATTTACTTGTGTATAGTTTAAATTATTATCTTCAAAATAGCAGCCATCCCACTATAGCAGTTTTGGGATCAACCACTTCGTGCCACTATCTGGGATTGGTAACTATGGCTTCAGCAACAATACAGACAAGAAGTCTACCGCCTCATAAGGGTGGCATTTGAATTCACATAAAATTCCAGTTTTCATTATGTAATAGAATTAGAGTATCATGCTAACCTGGTCAATCAAATCCACATTTGTCAGTGCCCAGCCCTTTTTCCTATATGCTTCACGCACTTCTTCACAATTATTACAGCAGTGGTCATCTGACTGCATGAATGAGAGAGAGACCATGTCCATGTAAGAAATTAAGAAACAATTGGAGAGTATAAGTACATGTTTGGATTAGCTTATTTTGGGGTTAAAGAAGCCTTTTTTTATTTTTTGGTAGCTTCCTTAGAGCTTTTGAATAAAAAGCGATTATTTCACCAAAAATGAGCTTTCCCAATCATGCACTGAATTGCACTGTATTGAAGAGTACAAATACACAGAAAAAAGATACAATTTAGACAACACATTAGACTACTAAAATGAAAGCACTAATGATAATAATCAAATTTAATTTAAGCTTATTAATAGCTGCTCATAAACTTCAGTCACCCATGATTCTTGGATCACACAAGAACAAATGCTACTGTGTTAGTCACGCCAAAATTTCTAGTACCAGCATTCCAACATTTGCATCAGACTAACTTTGTCCACGATACATATGCGCTTAACTAAAACAGTATTATTATGATTTATGACTGTTATTACTATTGTTACTAAAAAACAGTAAAGATAATTTCTGTGCTTAAGAAGCACGCAGAAATATTATATCTTTTTGTTTTTCAACTTAACAAACATGAGAATATTGATTATAACCAGACATTTAAAGCAACAACTGAAAATGGATATATCAAAGGCAAAACTGAAAATGGTAGGAAAACTAAGGGTACACAAAACACAGCTAATGTCTAAAATAATTTATCTAATAAAGTAATAAAATGTATATACATTGATACCAAAGATATAATTTCAACAAATGTCCCTTGTTTTCTCGTTAATTACCACTCTTGATCTCTTGTTCTTACTTATTGGGCAATTTTGGCTCCATAACAACTTTTTGTAATGATTTTATTCTGCTTTTGATGCTCTGTTTTTTCCTTAGTGTACAGAGGGTAGTAACAAGCACTCTGTTTTCTGTTACACGTACAAAGTACACACTCATACTCTTCTGTTTCATGTCCGAATAGAGTAACACACTTTATTTTAAATGCATAACAGTTAAATATTTTATTGTTTTTAACAGTTTTTTTTTTTTTTTTTTTTTCAATGAGGCGTGAATTTCTTAGTGCTTCTTGCAGCAAAGTGGTCAAAGCCCCTAGTGCCTTCAGGGCACTTTTTGCCTTTGACTACCCTGTTTAGATCCCCAAATTTTTTCTTATTGTTAAATTTCACCAAATTCTGTCACCACATCCTTTGAAACCTAATTTTAGATAAAACCCTTCAATCCTTCCCACCAAAAATTTTTGAATTAAAATCTATCAAAACATCAAAGCCTAATAAGTCTTGACAGTCCATGTTGATACCCAACACATATTACAGTAGTTACAAAATAATAGGAAAACCAGAGCAAATATAAGGATAGTAATGATCAAATGTACCTCTTCAGCACCAAAACATGAACCACAATACTTTTCGTCATGTCCAAGTCTGCCACCATGTCTCTGTAAGGGCCTCTCAATCTGCAATAGGAAAGTTATAAAGGAAACAAAAAAGTAATTTCATTATACATAAATATAGACCTTTGTCTTTTGAATGACAAACATAAAAAATAATTAGAGACATGATCAAAAATAGAAAAATGGATTTCAACTCCTCCAAGAGACAACAAGGGGTTCAAGACTACTAGCCTTGTATCATAAAAAAAGGTAGCCCATCAGATTCATAGGTATCCTCAATAGTTTCCTTTAATTTATACTTATAATTCTTGGTAATGAAGAGGTATAAACTAAATACAAACTCTCATCGAGGCAAATGCATCAGGTGATCAAATGCCTTATTCGGTCTTTACAAATGTAGAGAACACGTTACAATGAATAATCTTTTTAGTACCAAAGATCAACCAAAAGCATTCAAACTAGAGAACCTTCAATTTCCAATGACCATTGAGAAACAAGAGTGATATTATTGACTTGGGAGAACAGATATGATGCTGGTAATGCAAACTACAAGAATAGTGATCATAGAAACCCAAGCAATAAGAGGTTTTTTCAGCAATACAATGCCAAACCGAACCCAAGCAAAAAGAGTTTTTTTCAGACTTTTGAACAATTAATTACCACCATCCAATCTGAATATTCTTGCTGCCAATAGAAACCCAAGATCCCCACAGAAAAGTCTGTAAGAGCTTCATTGATATGCAACAATCATGCTATCATCCATATTGTCGTTCCAGTCTTAAAGCTGATAGCTAACACAAAGAATCTAACTGGCCAAAACCTCTATTCTAGTATTTTCCATTTCATGTTTCACCACCTACCACTATTCCTATAGATAAAAGAAACACAAGAATAAGGTCCATCATTTCCAAGCAGTTGATGTAATAGTAACATGAGCCAACAGGGTTCTCAAATACTACGAAAGTATGAATGTGATCAAGGCTAAGTCCACCTAGTAGCAACCAGATTTGATAGCAGTAATTTATTTAATATAAATCCAGTGTGCATCACAAAACATGGCAACAAAATTCCCGTAAGTTAGCATTTTTACTAACAATAGTTCCTCCAAATTTTTTTGAAAACACAACATCGACTAAGCCTTATATCACGGCATGGAGTCTGCTACATTGATCAATTGGCACCTTTGGGGTCTACCAAAAACCAAATTTTCAACAAAACAAAACAGTTTAGGGTGCGCTGGTACGGTCCTTTTCAAATGGTTTCTTCTAAAGTTTTTTTCAGTCTCCCTCTATGCCTTTTAAACAAACTATATTCCATTTGACTCACTTTTCTGACTATAGACTTTGTCTTCTTCTCACATGACCAAACCACCTTGCGAGGTTCATCATCTTCTCTTGAATAGCTGCTACTCCAACTTTCTCTCTCTATTTGTTCCTAATCTTATATTTTCTTGTATATCCATCACTCACCACAACATTGTGATCTCAGAAACACTTTTTTTTTTAGTTCTAGTTGGAATTTACTGCCCAATTTTCACTAACAGAGTGAAATATAAATTGGCAAGTTTATAAAACTACTCAGTATGCAGCTGCACTCTTCTAAACATAGATATTGAGTTGAAAACACACAGGTTTATGCTGTAACCCTATGAAGCACCGATACTCTGAATTTTTTTTTCTAACGTATCGGGTATGCGTATCGGAAACGTATTGTATCGTATCGACGAATTAACGGTCGTATCGAGAACGTATCGAAAACACCGTGTCGGAGTCGGTGCTTCATAGCTGTAACCTTTAAGCGTAAATCATAAACATTTCAAAAGCAATTTTATAACATAAGAGGATCAAATTCTACAGTAAATGCAAAGAAAGAAACCATTATGCAGTAATAAAGCTCCTGAGTATTTCAGCTAACCTTTGGAGCACCAATTCCATCCTTCTTCACTTCTATCACATTACCATTAGCATCAATTCTTTTTTTCATTATATTATGTCGCTGCAAATAGAAGCAGTGGTGTAAATACTAATAAATAAGAATAATATGAACATGAGACATAGGAAAAGATAGAGAATAAGAAAGAATGAAATAAATCAAAAAGAATATAATCGGTTAGAATTATTGGAACTGAAAATTAATTGAACAAAAGCTAATTTGAGCAGTACATACTATATCAAGATGCTTCTCTCCACTAATATCCACCGCGTCTAAACTGAGTATTGAACATCGAACGGAAGGAAAAGTGACATCAAACTGCATTTCCATGGGGAAAAAAGAATCAAATTTTTACTATGAAAGCTTACAGGATATAAGTTAGAAGGACGATCAAATCCTTACAAAATCATTTGGAATAAAATTTTTTCGGAATAATGGCATACATACAATTTGTCTCAACAACAAATCACCAAACTAATAAATTTATCAGAAAATGATATTGTACAATCCATGAATCACGACATAGTCCACAGATTGGACTTGGAGTATGAAGAGCTTAATAAAACTATATAAGTTACAGTACAAATATAACAAAAAAAATTACATTGATGTGTAATGTTTCTCCTCTTGAAGTATCCACCAAAAGCTTACTCTCTGTAACAGTGTAGAGGTACAATCCTGCAATCACAGTAAACAGATGACATTATTAAAGTTTAATGGGAAAGACAGTAGTCACATAGGCAGCAAGATAATGGTTCAGACAAAGTCACAAAAGATAGCCTCAGTTAACTACGTTTGATTTAAGATCACTCCCGTGATTCTTTTAAGATTGGGTCTATACCTTTTATCCCCAAAACTAGCAGTAAATAAATAGCCACTGCCACAGCATGACCCCCATCATATAATAGTTGCAGAATAATATGCTTAAGTGGATAAAAAGGGTAGCAATAGAATTAGAGAATCACTGATTGAGTTTGATATAAGCCATTAACCCTTGCGCCAATATTTGAAAACATTAATCACGTCATACATAAGGGTCCATATTATCAGAAGATTTTCTATGTGAGATGAATCAATGCACCCAAATGAAAGGCCAAACAAACCCATCCTTATGTTAATTCCTAACTTGCCATGAATTGCATGGTTAAAACATTGGATCAAAGACATCATTGCCTTGGCACTCTCAACAATTAATTTATTTTAAACGTAGTAACGGCCTAACTCTCGAAATCAAAATGGAGCAAAAAGGACCAATTTGCTGGAAGAGAAAAAAGAATGTGGATTGAGAAGAAGGGGGGAGGGAGCATAAGCTTCCATACCACCCAAAAAGAATTCCTTCCTTTTGTTAGTTTCCCTTCCATTGAATAAGACATTTCAAATTCAGCTCAATGCAACAAAATTGCCAAGAAAAATACACAAATTGCCACGATTTTCTCAATACATCTAAATCCACGGAATTTAAATTTTCCCTTCTAAATTTCTAAGCTTTCCAACCGGGTCACCAAAAAATCATTTAAAGTTCTAACATTTAAAATAAAAAATAAAAAAAAAGGAGCAGATGGGGTCATACTTAGCTCGGAAAGGAAGAGGAAAAGCATGACGGCGGCGGAGACTACGGTGACGACTCCGCCGGCGAGTGTGCGGCTGTAAAAATCTTCATTGACTTTTGGGTATGCATCCAAATTGCGGAGCTTGTTGAAGACTTTATCCATGGATAGCCACCGAAACCTCACAAGCACCGACCTTTGATAAACGATTAGGGCAAGAGCGGCGCTCCGTCGGCGGAGACGGTGGCCGGAGAATTGAAGGAATGATTGGTTGGTTGGAGAATGAAGAAAGACCCCAACATGAAATCAAAAGACGGTCACCACCAGCCCACCACCCCTAATTCAAAGGTCAATTTAGTCAAACTTGCCGTCTAATACTTTTTACTTTTTTTCTAAAAAAAAAAAACTTTTTTTTATTTGCAAAATTAGGCATTTTAATTTTAGAAATAAATTCTAAAATCTATACTATATCATAAATCCGAGTCATTGTGTGAAAATTTTTGGCACTTGTAATTCTTATAATGATTTGCATTCTTTTAAAAAGTGTAAATTTTCCTTCTTAAGCGAGTTTAAAAAAAAAAATTATATGCATCATGGGTCAAGTGAGACTTGATACATGATACAACCTAATTAATTCAAATTTTAAGTTAATAAAATTAATTTCAATTCTAATTTTGAATTTTGTATTTAAAATTTGAATTTAAATATAATAATAAAATTAGATTTGATGACAATGCAAAAAATTAAAGAAATCAATTGACTCATGGAAGCGACGAGGTGCTAATTCAGGGGTTAATTAACTATCATATTTATTTTCCCTTTTTTCTTATTTATATAAGATATTTTTCTTATATAATTCAGAGTCATTCTATGATAATTTTTACCACGTGTAATTCATACTATTATTTGAATTCTTTTGAAAAGTGTAAACTTTCTATCTTAATCAAGTTTTTAAAAAAAATTAAATTATATGCACCATGTGTCAAGTGAGACTTGATCCATGGTAGTCATAACATTAGATTTGATGACAATTAAGAAAATTAAGAAAACTAATTAATTGATTGATTGACTCAAATTAAAGAAATCAATTAATTAGATTGATTGGCTAAAATTAGAGAAACAAATCAATTGGATGAAAAAAAGTTAATTACCCAATATGATTGGGAAGTGATGAGACGCTAATCAAGGAGTTGTTAGCCCTCATATTTAGTTTCCCTTATTACTTATTTAAATGAGACTTTTTTCTTATTTTGCTCCTTCTACGGTAACTTGGGAACATGTTGAATGAGGATTATCTGTTATGGATGATGTACCGACAACATTCATTGCAGCGTTTGTTGTAGCCGGAGCTGCTTTCGATCTTTTTCTGCGACTACTTTGCTGAATGACCATCCATGGACCAAAAGCTTCTCCGTTAGCCGTGACTTTCTGCTTACCTATTTCGGATAGAGTGGCCAAAATGCCACGCTTTGGCAAAAAAATTACCAGAATGCTACGCCAACAGTAAAATTTCCCAAACTGCCACGCAGCATAATTCGCTACACAGTGTAGCGAATTATGTATGCAAGTAATTCGCTACACAGTGTAGCGAAATATGCCACGTCAGAACCAAAAATGCCACATGTCAAATTTTGCAAAATTCGCTACACTGTGTAGCGAATTATGCCGCGTGGCATTTTGACAAAATTTACTGTTGGCGTGACAGTCTGTTAATTTTTTTGTCCAAACGTGGCAAAATGGTCACTCTCCCCCTATTTCGGGTGTAGCTGTTGGGTTTTGGACATGGGTGTTAACTGGTCGAGCCGAGCTAAGCCAAACTTTGGTTTTAAAAGGCGCTTAGTCTGTGTTTAAATGTGTCAGCCTGATCAAGCTCGTTAACTGTTATAAATATAATTATCGGCCTGTGACCTGACTTATTTATAAAAAATAAAAGATTTATTTAGCCTATTTAAAAAAAATAAGACAACAAAAATTTATCTAAACAGAATGTACATCAACAACACTATTAATTTCATAAATATTCATAAATTCAATGTATATTCAAACAACATAATATAAAACAAAATCATTCAAAAAGTTTGTTTAACCAATAAAATGGGGTAAGATAGATTGAGGAGAGAGAGAAGGCTATTACAAGCAGTATAAAAAATATAAAATAAATATTAATATACTAGGCCAGCTTGATAGGCTCTAAGGCCGAGCTCTCTAAAGCACAGATACGCAACTTTTCAAAAAAATTACGTTTCGGACACGTGTCCGACATGGACACGCTCGGACACGCGTCCGACACGCAGTCAACATTTGGGGACACACGGTCAACTCTCGGACACGTTCCGACACGTTTTTCCGACACGCAGACAACTTTTTCCGACACGCAGTCAACGCTCGGACACATTTTTTTTTTAAATCTTAATTTTATTTTGTTAACTAAATATAAAAGAAATAATTTATAAATTAATTTTTTTCTGTTATGAAATTTGACATGAAAAATTAACAAAGTACGAAAAATTATTTATATTTATATTTATGTTATGAAATTTAAATATTTGATTGGTTATATGACTTATTATGGACTCTTATATGCATTAAATATAAATTATATTATATATATTAAAATTTTTATTTAATATCAAAACGTGTCCCAACCTGTCGAAATATGACATTTTTTAGAATTAACGTGTCAGCGTGTCGTGTCGTGTCGTGTCTCGTGTCCGTGTCCATGCATCATAGGCCGAGCTTTTGAATTGAAGCTTGATGCCTTTTTATTAAACGAGCTTTTATAAAAGTTCAAGTCTGGTTCCAACAACCAATTTTAGGCATGTAGGCTCAGGCTTTCACGAGTCGAGTCAAAGACCCCTGGTTCGTTTATTACCCCTAGTTCCGGGTAGGATCGCTTTGCCTATCCGAACTCAAATGGTTAGTGAAAATAGGGCAAACATCACATCTATGACCAAACTTACCACAAGCGAAATAGAAGAGATATAATCCTTCATAGCATACTAGGAAAATTCGGTTACCTATCTTGAATTTCGATAGGAAGCCTTTGCTCAAATCAACCTCGATGAAGATACGAGCAAATTTAGCACATCAGTGAATTCACCCTCTCCAGAGACCTTTACGAATAAAGTTCCTGTCGATCTTCAGAGTACGGCCAAACAGGTTCCCTATATTCAATAGGTGATGTGACATATAGGATTCTATTGGGAGTCCTGGAATTAGCATCCAAACTGCTAGTTTCTTAACATTTTCGTCATGAGGATCAAAGAAAGGTCGCTAGCGCTACACTACTACATAGTGATCAGCCACTATCCATGGTCCTTCTTGCAAGACAAAATTATAGTCCTCGACAATTAAGAACCGAAACAGGAAGTAGTCATTTTCTAGGTCGATAAAATCATAGGTTCCCGAAATGTTCCACATCTTGAGCAGCCTGTTACGGAGGAATTTAACCCCGACCCTTTTCCCTAGAAGTTTAATTATCACCGCTTGCCTCCAGGGATTACAACCCTTCTTGTGAACCTCATTTTTGTACCGTTAAGTAGGAATAACGGATCGTCGAGTTGCACCCTTTCTCCGCTCATCTCCATCTCCACATCCTCTTCTTCATCATCAATCCCCTGTCTATCAAAGCAATCAATCTCTTAGCTTTCAGCTGTCATGCCTCCCCCATTTAGTTACAGAAGGGTGTCTTTATAAGATACTGCCTTCTACTGTGGACCTTCTACTACCACACTCCGCTTAGCTTGGAGCTTCCCTATCTCAATGCTTAGTTTCAAAAGGTCCACTTCATCCATGGATATCTCCTTGTCGTTTCCTTTATCAGTAAGGGTGTTAATGAGCCAGACTTTGATTTTAAAAGGCTAAGTCTGTGTCTAAATATGTCAGCTGGTCTAGCCTGTTATTTGTTATGAATATAATTATCGGTCTGTGACACAACTTATTTACAAAAAATAAAAGTCTGGTTTAGTCTATTAAAAAAAATAAGAATAAAAATTTATCCAAACAAAATATACGATTAACAACACTAATATTTCCACAAAGATTCAATGTATATCCAAACAACATAATATAAAACAAAATCATTCAAAAAGCTTGTTTAACCAATAAAATGGGGTGAAATTGGTTGAGAAGAGAGAGAGCTATTATGAGTAGTATAAAAAACATAAAATAAAAATAAAAGTTAGTATACCAGGCCAGCCTGAGAAACTCTAATGCCGGACTTTTGAATTGGAGCCTGTGGTCTTTTTATTAACTGAACTTTTATACAAGTTCAAGTCTCGTTCCAACAATCAATTTTACACATGTAAACCCAGACCTTCACGAAGCGGGACAAAGACCCCTAATTCGTTTAGCACCCTAATTTGTCAGCACTAGTGTTTTTGAGTTTCCTTTAAAATAGGCTTTAAATCTTGTTTTACTACTGCCTTCAAATCAATTTCGGCCGACTTTTTCCTTTTTTGATAACAAATTTTTGTTTTTACAAGAGTATTTATGGGTCTTCAAACAATATACAATATACTTAAATAATCTTAATTTTTGTTGTCTTATCTTTTCAACCACAGGAACAACACTCACCTAATTTTGTCGAAAATTTGAATTTTAAATAATGAAGAATTGTTTTTTAAATTATAATAAATAATATTTTCTATAAAAAATAACGAAGAGTGTTTGATTTTTTTTTTCATGACCATCATATATGTTTTCATAAGACTAATGTTTCAGACATGATGCGTGATGAAAAGAATCTTTTAATATATTTTTTTCAGTGTTTGAATTTCAGTCATTTTTAAAAAATTGTAATTTGCTTATAAAGTGCAAATTATTTTCAAATCTACTAAACTCATGCTGATTTAAAAGGCAGCATGCTATTTCATAAATGACTAAATTTCATGTAAAAGGATTTAATATTTTGCATTAATTGAACATGAAACAGCAAAAATATTATATATATCACTCGAGTTCTCTAAACCAAAAAACAACACGCAAGAGAAAAAAGTTCAGATGTTTACATGGTAGCTGCTTTTAAGATTAGCAGTTTTCTTTTGGCAGTGGGATTTATTATGGCTTTTGCCATAATACAAAAACATTTTAAGTGCTTCAAGTTTTTTTTTTCCATGTAAAATACTATTTATTATTTCCTGAATTCATAAAGTGGCGTATATACACTTTGTCAATGGCTTGAGTAATAATCAGAACTTGTTCATCTGCAAATAGATACCCCATATATGAAGGAGCACCTGCCAATGCCAATCAATTATTGGAAATGGGAGCTAAACCTGTTGCCAAGTCTTAGGTTTGACAACATAACTTTGTTGAAACATAT